CTCATCTGTGAAATGGATGTGACATGAGATGACAATGGATCATCAGTTTAGCACAGTGCCTGCAACTCAGGGCGCACTTTTTTTATTAAAAAAAAAAAAACTACATAAAGACGAGGCAGGCAGTGCTTACAGAAATGAAAAGACAAGGCTGTTACAGGTGTTATTTCTATTCATAGAACGAGGCCATGGGATAGCACAAAAGCTGAATTCCTCCAGAGTTGATGGAGGCAGCTGCACCTGATGAAGGCCATCTCGTGATCCTTTCCCTGGGGGTCCTCCAAACCCAAGTCAGATGTGCATGCATGTGTGAGTGTGCAAACATTTGTGCAAGTGTGTGCACATGTATGATGCCAACAGAAACACTACAGCATGTGTAGGGTGGCTCTCAGGAAATCACTTTAGGCGTTCCCAATTCAACTGAATTCAGGTTTGTTTGCTTTATGTTGAATGAGCCAGCAAATGCAGTTACCCTCTTCTCTGGGCCTAAAACCCAAAACCAGAATCACCCTGGTGCAGGGCCGAGATACTACTGTAAAGTCACGTGCTTCAAAAGCAGATGTTTATTACTGCAAAGTTAACTATTCTGAAACCTTAGGTAGTCTCCTTAGAAGCAACTTGCTATAACCAATAATTCAGTTTGCAGAGAAGTCTCTATACAGATGCAGTAGGAGATAACATGTTTTCTAACTGGAACCTTCTGAGTGCTTTACCAGCCAATTAGGAAGTATTTATGAACAGCTCAGGCGCAGGCCTTCTAAAGCAAAGCAGGACTCTCACCACCACCCCACACTGCCATCACGGACCACGTTCTTAGGGCCAAGGACCTAGGAAAAGGTAAATTTCTCACAGTGGGCACGTAGAACTGCTGTCCAGCACCTACTGAGTCTTCATTTCTCTTCCCACCCCCATCCCCAACCAACCTCAGAATCCTAGGACTGACCAGAAAGCGAGTCACGGATCAATTAGGAAACAGCAGTGTCTTTTTCCTATGCTGTATCAGAATTCACTGATTTTCTTTGCAGTGGAAGACCCCTAGGACTTCCAGATCACAGTTTAGGAAAATATGAACAATATTCTAATCCAGCGGTCACCAACCTTCCGGACCCCACAGACCACCAGTGGTCCACCGACCACCGGTTGGCAACCGCTATCTAACCCATGTGTCAAAAATTCATCGGAGGCTGGACAGCTCAAATGCAGTCTCCTTGGATTTCTTGATTCTTCTGCTGTTTTCATCTACACATGACTTTTTGACTTTTGATTTCCTTCTGTCTCAGATGGTTCATATTCTTATATTTGTATTTTCTCCTTCAACAAAACCCCCAAGAACTTGTTGTTTAGTCTTTTAGCTCCCATAGCACCTGGCACTTGCAGGTAGACAAGTACTTAACGAATGGACTTGGTTCAAATGTATTATGCAACCTGTTATAGGATGAATTGTGTCCCCCGTTAGGATTGGAGTCCTAACCACCCAATACTTCAGAATGTGATCTTATTTGGAAACAAGGTCGTTGCAGATGAGGTCATGCTGGGGTAGGGTGGTCCTATTCCAATGACTGGTGTCCTTATGAAAAGGGGAAGTGTGAGTGCAGAGAAGCGACCACAGGGGGACACCATGGGAAGACTGGGGTTGTGCTGCCACAAGCCAAGGAACCACCAGAAGCCTGGGCGAGGCCTGGGCAGATCCTCCCCTCGCACCTGCAGAGGGAGCCAGCCCTGCCCACACCTTAATCTGGGGCATCTGCATCCAGGGCCGTGAGAGAATAAGTTCTGTTGTCTAAGCTGCCTGGTCTGTGGTACTCTGTCCCAGCAGCTCAGGACACTAATACTCAGCCCAACAGTTTAAAACAGTTTAAATGCATACATGCTTGCACACCCAAGACACCCAGCAAGACCAGAAGGGTAGCATCTGGCTTTCAAGTATATTCTACAAATATTAGGTTGATGGAGTGTCTCCTGTGCCGCACTTTACGGATTACTATGTGCTCTGAGCGTGGAGAGAAAGAACCAGGTTCCTGGAGTTTTTCATGGTGAATCAAGCAACTTCATCTAAAGGTAAAATTAAAGCAGCATTTCATGGTGTTCACTATTTCCATATGTTTTATTGATCTTACATTCATGTTCCATCTTCTAAAACTTCTGTATCTTGATTTCATACCCTGTGACTTAATAGTCTAGGGATGTTTAAAGTGTTAACTCATGAGCCCAATGCTGCTAGGGCTCACTGCGTCCTGTGGCCTTTGTGTATTTCTCATCACAGGAGGAATGAGGGAAGCAAACAGTGTGAGTAGGACAGCAAAGCATCCTGGCCATTACTGAGAAAATCTGAGTGTCATATCCTCATACACGAAGATTTGGGACTATAATTCCCACTTTCCACTCCCCTACAGCAGAGAACCTATCCTCCACCATCATGAAATGTATCTCTTTTCTGAACTCCTCTCCAGGCGTTTATAATCCCCTCTTTTGCTATCCAACCTTTCACCTTAAATAAAAGAACTGCATGAAGGAGAACCTGAACAAAAAAAACTTTTTAAAAGTGAGCAGAACAATCTGAACCAAATGAATGTACTCTCGGTTCCCCACCCTTTTACTGGCTCTAAAATAGAACAAATCAGCTTAATGTAAGAAACACATTAGGGCGTGTTTCTTAATAAAAGGCACATGGGAAATCTGAGCCATCACAAAACTTATTTTTAAATTTTTTCCCACAAAACTTTTAATTATTCACTATCTCCACTCTCATGGTTCAAAGTTTTAAATGATGAATTTGCAAATGTTAAGTTGCAGGCTGCTTACACCCCATTGACCAGTTGTCAGTGTGTTCATGTGGCCAACAGGAGTAAAGTTAAGATACTTTCAATTTCATGTGAATATTCAGTTCAGTTTCCAAATGTTTCTTTTTAAGGAGGAAAAAAAAAAGCCCTAACATTCCCACATTCAGGGAAAGCTGTTCAGCATGTGTGCTCTGTGGCCTATATTATTTGGTGTGCACGCAAACATCCCAAAGCTCAAATAAATAACTCTGCTCAGAAAGTGGAAAAGTTCATGGAACTTCCGAACCCCAAGGTTTTCAGAGGCAGAGAATAGCTAATATTTTACTCCAAAAATCTACCTTTGAACCACAGAAAAGCAGAAGCTCTGTCTATAATTGGCTTACTTTCATGTTAAACTTTCACTGATAGTCAGTCTAAAACAAACCAATTGGGGCCTAGGGGAATAAAGGGATAGCTTCAATCTAAGAAATTTCCAAATGACCATAGTTTGAGAATATATTAGATTGTTCCAATTTGGCTTTGGCAAGCTAAGCATTTTATTCATTCCTGTCTTTGTTGTGTTAGAGATGAAAGGCACACTATAGTGTTCTAAGAAAACCTTTCTAGAATTTAAAAGAAAATTATTATTGAAGTCGATCAATATGAATTTAGTTAATATGCCAAATAACATACATTTACAGTGATATGTCTTTTCTAGACAGCACATGAAGTTGCTTAAAGCTTCACTCTAAGAAATGAACAGTATTTCATATAAGCCTATTTTGGTAAACTTAGCATGCATGCATTTTCCATTCTTTTCAACATCTGTCTTTTATTACCAGAGATTCTGATATCCAGATGAGTGCCTTGAAAGTTAAATCCTGCTCCTTATTCCTGTCTTAAATCATAATTTTATTGTGACATCAGGTTCATGTTCAAACATTTTTCTTCCCAGGACAGGCTGGCAGGTATTCATTCTAAAATGCAGATTCTGTTTTCATAAATACATTCCAAGTAAGAAAAAAAATACCTAAAACTAGTATGCACCCAAAATTCAAATTAAATCTTTTCTGACCTCTAAAATGTAGCACCAGGACATGCACAAGCTTATAAGATTAAACATTTTACTTTATAAAGTCACCTAATATTTTTATTAGCAAATTATTATTGTGCATTTGGGGCCAATAAACCCATTTCTAAAATTAAATAGTTTTTCCTAGTCATGGTGTACTTCAATTTTTACATTTTAACACCTTTTAAGTAATTGTGGATCTTAAGATTATGTATTGGCAAAAAAAAAAAAAAAAAAAAAAAAAAAAACTGGAGTAAGATTGTAGTGTTTTCGAAATACAGGGAACACATTGGTTTTAAACGCGCTTCTCTCCCCTCACCCCTGCTTTGTCAGCTGTGGGAGAGGAAAGCAAACTTTAATCACTCGCAGAGATGCGGGTCAAGGTTCACACTCCAGCCCAGGGGAAAGAGCCACCAGTCACGAAGAAGAGAAGCAGGGTCTGTAGGGCTGGGGATTCTGTCCAAAATCAGGTAGGAACCTGGAAGTGAAACCTCGAGTGTTAAGCCAGCCTTGAAGAATGCCAAGGCTCTCCCAGCCCCGTGTCTGCCATCCTCTGGGCTTGGAGACAGACAGGAGGCATTCTTTCGTGGGGAGGGCAATAAATCATTTCACACCCCAGCCCTCGGCTATTGATGAATGCATCTTTTAAAAAATGCAGAGCAATTGGTCAATCGAATGGGGGACGCCACTCTCATACAATACCCCCAACAAAAGCTATTCAAACAAAGCCTCTGAGGAAGCGGTGCGCGTCGCCAGAGCGCGGTTTTCGGGTCGGGTCACGGCGAGGGGCGACTCGACCTCAGGGCGGTGCACAGCGCTCCCCTTTCCTTCCGGCCTCCCCGGGGTCGTTCCCCTAGTCCGCGGCCCGGACCCCCTTCCCGGCCCACAGCGCACACAATGGCGCCCCGAACTCCCGCCACTGGGTCCTCGCGCCGCCAGCGCGCCCCCCGCGCGGGCCGCGTGCCCGGGTCCGCGCACAAAGGAGACGCGTGGGCTCCGCCGCGCCCCGCGCTCTCCCAGCCTCGCGCGGCCACCAGGTGCCTACGCGGGCGACCCGGCCCCCGCGCGTCGCTGCGCATCCCGGGCGAGGCGGGGCGCGGGGCCTCCCACCGCCTCGGGCTCCCACCGCCGGGGCCTGTCCGCCGTGGGGGCGCGGGCCCGGGGACACTCACTTTCTCGATGGTCCCGGGCAGCAGGCGCTCCAGCAGCCGGCAGAGGACCACTCCATCCTTCAGGGACGCCTGCAGGAAGCCCTCCGGGTCCGAGATGGTCTTCTTGGGCGACTCCAGCACCCCCAAGGTAATGAGCCACGTAACGGTCTGCTCGGCGGAATTCATAGCGGCGGCGCGCCCGGCCTCCCCGCGCCGCGAGCCGCTCTCGGCGCCGTTCACCTCGGAGCGGCCGCGGCCCGGCGGGTAGCGCTCAGCGCCCCCTCCTCCTGCTCGCCCATGGAGAGGCCGACGACGGCGATTGGCCCGGGCGGCGCCGCGGTCCGGCCGGCTCGCGCTCCCTCGCGTGCGTCCTGGCCGACTGTCAAGTGCCTTTTCATTACCAGCACATGAACCTGCGGCGGCCGCCCGGCGCCGCCCCCGCCGCCGCCGCCTCCCGGCTCCCAGCCGCTGCTGTCGATGACATCACTGCGAGGAGAAGAAAAGACGCCGCGCCGGAGCGGCCCCGTGCCCGGCCCCCCGGCCGCACACGCACTCCGCGCTCGGGCCCCGCCGCCGCGCTCCCTCCACCCGCGGGCCGGGCCGTGCGCGCGCTCCCGCACCTGCGCGCCGGGCGGCGGGCCCCCGCCCCAAGGGCCCGGTGACCTCCAGGCGGCCACAGCCGGCCGCCAGCCAGGGCTCGCCGGGACTCCCGATCCGCGGGCGGCGCGCGCCTTTAACCGTTTGCGCCCCGCCGGGTCCGTGCGCAGCCCCCTCCGGAGTCCGCTCACTACCGTCTCTTCCGCCGCCCTCTCCCCTTTTTGAAGGACTGGGAACCCTTTATATATATATATATATATATATATATATATATATATATATATATATATATATATATATATATATATATATATATATATATATATATATAAATTTATGAATGTTTAAATTATTAAATGCCTCCCGGAATGCTCTTTTTATTTTTGCCAGTTTTATTTCAAGAGGTTGGGGGCGTTTGCTTCACCCCGCTCCCTTGCAAGCCAATAATTACCGAACACAAATGATAATTGAATCTTAACCAGATGGGTCTGATTTGGAGAGGAATTGATTTTGAGGACGCTGCTGTGATCCTTGGGGGAGGAGGGGTGTGGACACCGCCACCTCCTCCATCCCCCCACCCCTCCCCCTATCCGGCCCCCACACACAGCTGCGGAGCGGGTGTCACGTATGCCCCCTGCTGGGAGGCCCCACTTCTGCTCTCTTGTGACCTCACTCTCCAGGACCAGAAAGAAACCTTGGAGCTATTCCACTTTAAATTGGTGGCAACGTTTCAAACACTGTGGGAGGAAGGTCAAGAAAACAGCAGAGCCTAAACTGTCTGTGCAGATAATCTGGAAGGAAGAACTGTGAAACAGCTCAGTCCAAGCAGGCCACTTGGCCACGCTCTTGGACGAGATGCTGTGAACCTGCGCAGGCTAGACCTAGAGAACTCAAATGACGCGCAATGGACAAGCTTCTTCAAACCACCAAGGACACTGCCGTGTGCATATGCTAACCAAGGACGCGAGCCTCTTCCTAAAAGGAGCTGAGTGTGAAGGTGTTCATGTATGTCCATTTCCTCCATCCAGTTCCTGAGAGCTGAGGAGTATGGGGAGTCCAACCAATGGAGACAGGTCTGGGTCATTTGTGTCAGTAGCTTACTGTGCCCTCAGGACATGCCCATGCCCAGTTCCAACTGTACACGGTCCCCGACAGAATGGATGACTGCTGTGCCTGTTGTGCTAGCTGCACCTCGTCCCCTGTGCTCCTCCTCCCTGGCTGCTGACTCTCAACTTTTCTTCACCACTTCCTCGTTAGATGTGTAAAGAGCATGAGCTGTGGTTTATTTTTATGCCTATTTGACTGTCTGTTTTTAAAATAAAAGTCCATTCAGATTTAGTGTATTACCTGACACACTTAATTTTTTCCTATTACTTTAAATAGTTATTTATTTTACATTGTTGTAAATCTATTTTTTAAAAAGCAACAGGCATTTGAAGATTAAACTATTCCAGTAATTTTGGGGGTGCATAAATCCTAATAATGCTATAACAGACAAGGCTTGTTGGGAAACAAATGTCTTATAAGTCTGTTTTCTCCACCATGTGAATTTACCTCGGGGGTACCAGTGAGTGTTGTTCTCAGTGCCCTTGACTGCATACTATCCTATATAACAAAGAGCGATAATATGCTAATTAGACCAGATGGCAGAACGACCAGTGGGCAAGAGGGCTCTGTCAATCTCTTGTAAAGTCTGAAATAAACATTGGCCTTAAAAGTGAATGTTGCTTTGATTTTTCTTTTAAAATAACCATTGAGCCCTGCTGGCATGACTCAGTGGTTGAGCCTCGACCTATAAACCAGGAGTTCACAGTTCGATTCCTAGTCAGGGCACATGCCTGGGTTGTGGGCTCAATCCCCAGTAGGGGGCGTGCAGGAAGCAGCCAATGGATTAATGTTTCTCATCATTAATGTTTCTATCTCTCCTCCCTTCCTCTCTGAAATAAACATATAAAAAAATTAAATGCCCATTGATATTTTTATCTATATTCCATGCAAAACTTTTTTTTAAAATTCTGTTGGAGAAATACTTTTTTAAAGGAAAGAAGCAGATACCATATATAAATATCCAGTGATAGATTTTGTACTGGGGCAGCAAAATCAATCTTACATGAAATTTGTTTTGCTTTATAAATGGCTTCATCCATTTGAATGTAATGTTGCTTTCCAAAGGGAAACATTTTTAATTGCCCCATTTTCTGTTCTTTTGACTTATTCCAGAAAAGCCACATCCAAGGAATTATGGCTTCAATTAATTGAAACTCAATTTTTAGAAGCCACTGATTATTGAAAGTAGAGATGTCCCATAGGGAACAGGGCCTTATGTGCTTGTCCAGGTACCAAATTTCATTAAGATTCAGCCTGGACAGTGAGCAATTTTGCCTGGGGTGAAGAAGCTTCACTCGCCACAGAACAATTTCTGATGTTGTCCTCTTAGCTGAGTAGAGGTGAAGGTAACCAAGGGAAAAACTGAGTAGAGGTGAAGGTAACCAAGGGAAATAAGATTTTTTTAAAGTTAAGAAAATAAGGGCTGTAATGACAAATCCAGTAGAAAAGTAATTAAGGGATTAGAAAAGAAGGTGGAAGGATGGAGACCTTAGGCTGAGCAGAGATGGATCTAATGAGGTGTGGATGTGGGATACCAAGTAATTTCAACATAAGGTAAAATAACACAGAAGGAAAGTGTGAGGACACAGAAATATGTCCAGTGAAGAAAAAATAATATGCACACATGGTTTCATAGCACCATTATCTATTAATGTGGAAAACTGAAAAATATTCGTATCATTGGGAAAGAGCTTGGTAAATTAGAGTTGTAACTTTATTGCTCATCTTGAAATCAGTGAGATGGTAAATATGATGTGTGGAATAACTATATATAAAATATAGCCAGAATTATTTATGTGATGACGATCACTGAACACCAGCAAAAGGGCAGAGGGGACCATGCCTGAGGTGCTGAGAATAGTGAGGAATTTTGATTCTGAACACTGCAGGTCCATCTTAATTATTTCCAAGGTTGGAAGACGACACAGTGTTTCCTGCAGTGTGATGGTAACTGTCTAGAACAGCGGTCGCCAACCTTTCGGACCTCACGGACCACCAGTGGTCCATGGACCACCGGTTGGCAACCGCTGGTCTAGAACTTGGGAAGACAGAGCTGGATTGCATTATTCCCTAAAAGGAAATCGTACCTGTCATGGTGCCAGTACCCATCCTCTACACCCCACTCTGTCTCGCTGGGACTAGGTCCCTGGGTATCTCTGGTCTCCCTCATCAGCTGGTCTCCCAGAGGAGGGCACGCACAGAGGGCCTGGAAGGCGGCAGGCAGGAAGGTGAGATGCCTTCCTGTTTGCTTGTTGTTCTGCCACCCCTCCACCGGGCACAGGCTGCTTGTGGTGGTCTCCAGTCTATCCCCACCCTTCTAGAAGCAAGTTCCCTGCAGCCATCTGGGGGCTCCAGCGCCAGGGGACAGACCCCTCTCCAGAGGGCTGGGCCCCAGCCTCTTGGCAGTGTCCTCTGAGCCACTGAGCGGCCAGCAGCCTGGTGTTCCCTCCCCGCAGAGGTCTGCTGGTTCTGCCAGGCTTGTCCTCAGCTTTCAATCCTGGTGGCCCAACCTCCCCCCTTGTTTCACCCAGCCCTGGTTGGTAGTTGCCTCCAGCTTGATCACCCTGTGCAGCCTCAGTGCCCCTTTCCCTTGGCCGTCCTCTGATACCCCATAGTCAACAACAGTTCCTCAGCTTAAATTCTATCCATTCAAATGACCAGTGTGGCTTCTGTTCTCCTGGTGGGACCCTTGCTGACATAAGGAACCTGAAGAGTGGAACATGCAGTCAGAGTCAGGGGAAAGATGGTTGAGAGGCAGAGAGCTCAGGAAATTTTTAAGTAACATTAAGAGTGGAGAATATGTGGGATGGGATAATCGGCCCACTAGAAAAATCATTAAGCAAAAGGAGAAACACAAGAGAGCAGCTGTATTGATAAATGCTTGGGGACCCCACATTCTAGAATAAGGATCTAGGGCGTGTCAGAGGTGACACGTGAACTCATTGTTTTGGTTGATTTTTCTTTGTTAAATGGCATTTAAATATATAAAATAAATATCAAAAATAGAAGCCTTTGTTTTACTATGGTTGCAAAGATCAAAAAATTACTATATGTGAAATGGCACCAGAGTTAAGTTAGGGTTTTTCAAACTGCTGACACGCCGAGCTCAAAAGGTTCACCATCACTGTTCTAGGGGCACACTGAAGTGAGGGTTCTGCCAGTCCCCCTCATCACTCATCCAGGCTAAACAAGAGAAGGCTGAGAATTTAAGGGCTGGAGAGTAGAGCGGAGCTTCATTTGGAAGGGGTGCTGAGGCTTTCTCCTCCCACCCTAGAGAAGAGAAAGCGTGTGCTCAAGAGAGGAGAGCTGGGGCCCCACTCAGAGAGTCACTCGCTCCCCGGGCTGGTGGGTGTCATGACAGGTTCCCAAGCAGCGTGGCTGCCTTGGGAACAACTGGTGCCCTGAGTGTGGTGGGTCAGAGAGTGTTTGTGTTTCCCTGGAGCTGGGGAGGATGTTGCGTCCAGATGTGGGTACCCCTGAAGGGTCACACCAAAAGCAGGATCTGTGTGTTGGGGAAGGATCCCCTGGTGCTCAGAGTCCAGTTGCTGGAGGCACCCTGAACACCAGGGAACTGGAGATCGGGGGGGGGGGGGGGTCTTTGCAGGGCCGTCACGTCTTGTAAGGACCCACACAGGCACATTCACATGTCAGAAGACACCAATTCTATCTACAAATAGGAACCTTCCTGTCTTCACGATCTCCTGTCCTCTCCCTTACCATCCAGAGAAGCCAGAGGTAGTGTGGTGCTTGGGGCAAGGAGTAGAGCCAGGTGGGAAATAGCAAGAAGCCAAAGAGCCCCACTTCCCCACTCCTGGGTCAAGGTTGGGACTGGGCTGGGGTAGGAGAGGTTAAAATTAAATGAGAA